ATAAGCCCCGGGAACTTATGGACGCGTAGTCTGTGTTCGGACAGACGCGTGGCGTTCTTCACCCGGATATCACAGCCTTCGTAATCGCATTTAATTAGGCGTTCCTTAGAGTGGCTGCTTCGGTGTGAGTCTAAACAGGACTTCGTTTTGCACCGAAACTCACATAAATTGCATTTAAATGGCTTTTGCGTTGAATGCCTGATCCTGAGGTGTTCCGCAAGATTACCACGATTTTTGAGCACTGCATTACATCCCAAGATATGGCATTTAAAGCCAATCTTCACACTCTTTTCATTATCAGTAGACGCCTTTGGATACTTGCAGTGCTTTCGAGACATGTGTGCCACGAGTTTGTCGACGCACTTGTAGTGATGTTTGCATTTCTGACAGTCGTATCGTTTCGCCTCATTGTCATCACTGACCAATAGATGATTATTACCACAGGACTGGCATTTGAATAGACGTTTCAACACGTTTTCCCTGTATTTGGTTAAGCCGTGCACGTTATACATGTGCCGCCGCACTTGGTTGGACCTGTGATGCCTATAATCGCATTTATCGCACCCCCACCGGGCGTTCACTGTGTGGACACGGCTCTTATGCTTCTTAAGCATAGATTCATTTGCAAATAACTGTCCGCAGTCCTTGTAACTGCATTTATACTTAGCTCCCGGTGCCGGTGATGTTGATGCGGGCGTTGATCGTAATTTTGGTCGCAATGTGTATTGAGAATGGGGTATATTTGATGACATATTAGCACGTGTTTGGGGTATTGTATCCGACTTTGTGGACAACTTTTCATTATTTCCAGACGTTTTCCGCAATTTTTTCGTTAATTTATTGCTATTTTCGGTAGTATTCTGTGAATTCTGCACCAATTTGTCAGAATTTTCGCATAAATTTATTGACAGATCTTGTGTTTCAGTTATTTGTTGTGTATCTCTATTATCAGAAATTTTGGGCAATTTCTTAGTCTTTTTCTTCAAATTCTGTTTTCTATGTCTTCTCTGTTTATGTGCCCATAATTTGTACTCCGATTTGTACACTCGTTCACACACTTGACAAACATATTTGGTAACAGTCTTGGGGACAGCACTCTCACCGGCACTGGTATTATCAATAGTAGTATCGCCGGCACTGGTAGTGTTGACAGTACTCTCATCAGGATTGGTACTGTCAACACAACTTTCAACAGCAGCGGTGTTATCGACAATATTTTCATCAGCACTGGTATTGTGGACACTAATCTTGTCAGTGCCGGTATTATCGACAGTACTTTCATCAACAATGGTGTTATGGATAGTAGTTTCGTCAGCACTGGTATTGTTGACAGTATTCTCGTCAGCGCTGGTATTGTGGACAGTATTCTCATCGGCACTGGTATCTAAGGCACAGCCATCAACAGTACATTTGTGAACATTTTTCATGTGTTCGTCGATATCAAACAATTGCTTAAATTTTTTATTGCATTTATTGCACCGAAAGTGTGGATCCATTGCAATGGTTTGCACTTTCTTTTTAGACTTCTTATGGGTCACCACTTTTAGGTCCCGGTGCTGCTCAGACTGCACAGGTTCTGGAGCGCCATCACCACCAGTGCCATCACTATTGGTTTGCGTAACACTTTCCGTGTTTCTACTGCTTAGCCGTTTGGACTTTCTTATGGCCACCGCTGGTGTACTTGATTTTTGACTCAATTGTTGTCCACTCACCACTGGATCAGTTACACCGACATCCGTGGTCTTAGTGGTAGTTTCGGTGATATTCTCACTACCATTCCCTTCCAATTGCTCCAATGGCAGATCCAATACAGGCTCCGGAGGACTAGTGATGGAAGTGGTCTCAGGCATGTCCTCATCGCTACTGTCAGCGTATTTACGTTTTTTCTTAGACTTAGGTATGAGTTCCGGGTGCTGTCTCTGCATATGGCGCTTAATAACTTTGGGGGACCGACCCCTGTAGTCGCAGTGCTTGCACTCAAACACCGGATTGTTGTGGATGTCCGCCAAATGTGTGCGCAAACGGAATTCCGTATCAAAACTAATCACACATTCATTGCAATAATAAGTGATTGGATGACGATTTCGTTTTTTCTTGGGTTTAGGTTTTGTCGGCCCCTTTGGTTCACTCAATACATCAGTTGCACCGGTAGTCTCGGCCTGACTTTCGACAACTGGTTCGTGAGATTCATCTAAAAATTTGTTTCAAAATTATTGCCACTAATTGTAGATAACATTCCACTCGTGTCTCTCTATTACCTCTGCTTTTGATGACATCCAATGTCATCGCATTTGATTCAGTGACTACTTGTCCCACATTTTGCGTGTCATTCGCGTTGTCATCGACAGTGTCTCGCATTTCATTTTCGTCTAAAAATTATTGTTAACATTAAAATCAATTATTTCTAATCAAGTAGTAATGGAATACCCTCTGAGTTGACATCCTGTGGCACCGCTTCAATGGTGGTGGTCAGGGGCGGTAGGGTTGTACCCGTATTACTCTCGGCATTATTGGCTACATTTTCAATCACTTTAACACAAAATTAATCATTTTATAACAGATATTATTAATTAAACGGTAGGTAACCTTCCGTTTTGATGACATCCAGTAGTGGCGGTGCATCTGATCCTAAGACCTGTCTATTATCTTCAATACCACAACTGTTAGTGTTTTCAATTGAATTACTGTTAAGGTGTTCGACATGTGCAGCGGTTGTCGTTTGAATAGTATCTATAAATTATTTATAATTTAAACCTATTATCTGTATTGATCTGTGAATTACCCTCGGTTTTAATGACATCGAGTGGCGGCACCTCTGAGTCCACGACCTGTCCATTAGCTTCAATGCCCGTAGTATTAGCGCTTTCATTAATGGTGTCATCGATTTCGTAATTATCTGTACCGTAAATAGCATTTGAATACAAATGACTAATCCATAGGCAGGTATGTCTGTACGATACCTTCGGATTTAATAATGTCCAGTGGTTTGGGAACTCCTGAAACCATTACCAATTGACAATCATTTTCATGTGAATCACTATTTAGATCTCCCACTTCTGGAGNCTAATCCATAGGCAGGTATGTCTGTACGATACCTTCGGATTTAATAATGTCCAGTGGTTTGGGAACTCCTGAAACCATTACCAATTGACAATCATTTTCATGTGAATCACTATTTAGATCTCCCACTTCTGGAGCGACTGTCGGTTCAATGATATCAAGAGTTTATGTAAAAATTATCTTCAATTAAAATCTATTTATATTGAGCTGAGAATTACCATATGTTTTGATCTCATTTTGTATGACATCTCTGTTGCCGCCATCGATGGACTCGACATCCGATGTGTCGATCATTGAGTTTAAATCCAAATGAACTGCTTTTGAGACATTCGTGGACTCTTCGCTCACCACTTGTTCTCCACATCTATTATCACTAGATTTATCCACTTCTTTGGTATTATTGGTATGAATATCATACGCGGCGGTATCACTGACTTCTTGTGCCACCACTTCCACCTCGTC